AGACCCTGTACCAAATACATAAATTTTTAAAAATTAAAATTAAAATAATAAATAATAATGTATTGGTAGCTGGGTGTGGAGGAGGTGCATGCCTATAATCCCAGTACTCTGCAGGCAGGAATATTAGCATAAATTGGAGGCCAGCCTACTTTACACAATGAGTTCAAGGCCAGCCCGAACTATACAGCAAAACTCTGTCCAAAAAAAAAAAGGAAAAAAAGTGTGTCAAGACTGTGGAAATAGACCCAGAGTACTTCAGGGGACATTGTAGACCTGAAAGAAAAAGCAGAAAGAATGGTTGCTAAGAGCCCTCTCCCTGGGGCCTGTGCTTGTTCAAATCCATCTCTACTATTTTGGGGGCCTTCTGTGAAATCCCTATTTTACCAACTTTTGGTTCCTGGAAGGCAGAATTTGAAATACAGGGCTATTAAGATTACCCAGCGAAAGAGTCTTATGTGTATTTGCTACCATACGCTTGTCATTTCAATTTTATGCTTCACTGTAAACATTTTATATAAATTAGGTTGATGAAACCATGGCTTGGCTGTGGTTTAAATGTTATTTTGTGTCATTGCCCTGTGTTCTAACATAATGAGTTAAGTTCCCCTCTTAGTATTTTCCTCACATTTAATATGGAGATCTAAGTTCTTGCCAAAGTTCTTTAAAATGCAATTTCTCTGAATGACTCTCTTTCTATATAGAATGTTCTGGGATTCAGACAGAGTTGTTTCTGACTCTGGGAATGAGCGTAAGGAGTCTACTTAAGTTGTACCTCAAGGTCCAGAAGTTTGAGTTCTCTTCCTCTTATGGTTTAAATAAATCATAAATGGAAAGTATTCATCTTTCAATCATATGTTGGCAAGATAATCCAAGTAAATCATAGCTGTAATTAATACATTATGACTTTCTCAAACAGCAGAGTAATTTTTGATTCTGTTGTCCAACTTACCCATTTCATGTGGAATTTCATGACACAAGATAGCAATTGTTGTGGTCACTCCTGACTCAGATGAAGATGAGAAGGCTGCTCCTAAGACTAGGCCATCAGCAAAATTATGCAGGCTGTCCCCAACCAGTATCATCACTGCTAATAAGTTCATGGTTTTGCCTAAGGAACGAACAAAGTGTGAGAAGCATTAGCAAAGTGCAATATGTTTCATGGAATCTTTCAAACACTGTCAATTTTCCCACCCACTCTTCATATCCTTCTAATCCATCTAATTTAATTACTTTGCTTTCTTTCAGCTTTCAAAACAAAAAAGATGCAACCGTGGTAACCGATGGGCTTCAAATGGTGACTATTTTCTTACTGGTTGAAACAATCATGAGATAAATTATGCTTTCACATTTATTATTTTATCATCTTTTCTAGTTAAGCCAAGAGCAGAAAATAAAAACAATATTACAACCTCTCAAAATGCTACTGATGACTTTGCCATCGGTGTCTCTTAAGTTACATTTTAAAATAATCTAAGGGCCTTGCCGTGTTTGGAATACTTACGTCATTTTATATTGTTTATGTTTAAATTTATCCTATTAATGAGGTGGCATCAGGAGGTCAGGCTACAGAATTTTCATTACAAAGGAGTTGATTTTTCCAGGATTCGTCCTCCAAGTCTGACTGGCTTGGGTCCACCTGCTGCACTGTGCTTTCTGCCACTGTGTGATCAACGTGTTGTTTTTGGTGACTGGTGCTGATGAGCCTCCCTAAGTGTCTCACTTGTGTCACTACTGTGACCACAATAGAACCATGAGCATCCTTTTGGCCTCCTCCATTAGGCACAATTACTCCATGTACTTTCTTCCAAAAAGCATCTTTCCCTACTAGATCGGTTCATGGGATTCTATTGCCTAATGCCCTTTATCTGATCAGGAGAGAGTTGATGAAATAATTTTGATCATAAGTGGGTTCCAGTTTAATGGACAGAATTTCTGATTTTAAAAACCTGGATTGTGTGTTTCAACTCAGTAATAGAGCTGAACTCACAAACACAAAAAGAATTTTGAGGATGACATTCCTTCTGACAGTCAACTGCCCAGTTATACCATTTGAAAAGAGTGGTCCTTAGCCAAGTAGCATATTGTGAACCTGCATTAGTTATTCAGCTGAAAAGATGCTGTGTTATAGGGGAAAGGAGTAGCTCTTGGTACTGTTAGAACTGAACATATTATTCTGATAATTGCATTTAGTAGAAATAGAAAGAGGCTGTTTTCTGGGTTCTAACCCACACATGTGCCGAGACGGAGGAGAACCATATTATAATGTGGTGAGCTCTTTCATTGAGAAAATGTAATTTGGTACACTGCATATCCCACCCTATAAAATAACATCAGGAAACACCAATCAGAGCCTAGATTTTCAGCCAGGAGATCACTGTGTTGACTGTATTACAAAGGTGGCTTGTGCATTTGACTTGGAAAAAATCATACATATTTATAAAATATCACGAAGGACTAACTTACATTCTTCTTCTGTTTCACTAACTCACTTTATTCTTTATTACAACTGGCAGATTTCAGAAACAGACCTAAACATGCAGATTAAATATTAAATTATTAAACTCAAGGAGTTCACACTGGCATAGCCTAGAGCTCTCAGAGCCCAAGGACAGCATCAAATCATTTGGCTCAACCTGTCCATTTTGAGAAATAAAGTCATTATAAAAAGAAAAAAATTATTTTAATGTAAAGTGATATATTCAGTAACACTATAACATGCAAGTAAAGTTGTGATTTCTATGTGCCTACACATAGTTTCAATATTAACAGAACATATTCAAATTTTAGAGAATATGTACTCTGCTAGGAAACATGTGGCCTGTTTTGCTTCTGTTATTTTATTATCTCTCATTATGGGTTTCTGAATGTCAGATTATGGATATGTAACAAGCCATGAGACAAATATACAAATTTGCATGTAAACCACAAGGCAAGCATTGTGGGCATTCTTTAAGAAAAATACTGTTTAGAAGAAGATAGGCATCTGCTGGTAATTGAATGTACTCATTACAGAAATACCTATGATATTTGACCTTCATTCACATACCTGGCAGATATATACAGTTCTACATTTCTGAACTATCAGAGGTTTTCCATGCTAAAACAAGGGCTGGAATTAATATTATTTGGGGTTTGTTGTTGTTTGTTTAAATCAGACAATGGGTAGGATTTTCACATCCTGCCTTTCAGAACTCAAGTTGAGCTCCACCAATGAGGTAATATGAAAAAAATCATCAAATAGTTGAAGGTAATTCAGCATTTTCCTGGCAAAGGGACAGTTATATGTTCTAATTTGGATTTGTTCACTGTTCTTTCCCTATCCCAAGTTTGATACGTGTAGTGGGAGGATATGAAGACTGCAAAATATTTGGATAGGATGATTGTTACTTCCTGGTCTAGTTTCCACTCCCTGCTCTTAATTTGACTTGGCACACCTTTGTCTCCCTTTCCTTTCTTAAAAAGAACTTCATTGTAGATTTACAACATTCCAAGCCTTCTAAATTAATCCTGGGATTAAAAATTTAGAAGGAAAATTGCTGTCAACAATGTCCTGAAGGCATAACTGAAACAAATACGTAACAACATGTTTTGAAGCAAAGAAAGCATATGAGTTAGTATTACACAATTAGAATATTCATCATGAGCCACACTAACACAATATATTAAAAATATTTATAACCCCAAATACATGGCAAACTCTGGATAAACAAAATTCATTTAAGCCTGTATGCATAATATCCAAAATATCGCATTCGTTCCAACATTCCTTGAGTGTATAAAAGAATGTGAAAGAATTCACAAGTGTAGGATAAATTAGTGGTTATGAAGAAATTGTTAGTGTGCTAATATTCCTTTAGCTCCCCAAAGCTGGAGCTTATTAGCTGTGTGAGCCCGAGGAATGGCATAACCACTCAAACATTTGGTTTTTCATTTCTATAATTTGAGTAATATTTATTCTTGCTTCCATAAGTTATAGGAGAATTGAACTGACAGACTCTCTTCACTATGCCTAGTACCTAAAACTTGTTGAACTCATGGTGGTTAAAGTTGATTAACTTATTGTGAAAGAATATGAATAAGTAACCATGACTGGATTGACATTAAAATATGAGAAAGTTTATGTCACAACAGTGGGATATAAATGAGAAAAATGGGAGAAAGATTTAAGAGCAACTTTGGCCAGCCAGATAGCTCCGTGGATTAAAGCACCTGCCTAGGCAGAAACAGGGACAGAGGTTCGATTCTCGGTATGCCGTGCTGGCCCCACCCCTGGGGCACACTGAGAGGGCAGCTAAGACTGGGCGTGATGCTGCGCACCTATAATTTCAGTACTTGGGAGGCTAAAAACAGGAAGATCACTACAAATCTGATCTTTATAGTGAGACCCTGTAGAACTTGTACTAAAATGCAAAATAAATAAATAGATTTAAGAGCAACTGATGACAACCAAAACAAAAGAAAACAAAAACTTCAAAGAATTATTCAGAAATATAAGTAGAGATTAAGTTCTACCTACAATTGGTAAGTTAAATTCAGAAATAGTAAAAATCATAGAAAAAAGATTGATGGAAAGTGAGAGAAACAAATGAGGTACAGAATACGATGTGAAAAATGAGACATTGTTGATGTGAGCTCTTCATGTCAATGACACCATAATAAAGGAGATAGATATTTGTGTGCAATTTTCAATTATCTATGATAAAAGTTGAAAAAGTGATGTCTCCATATTTCATGGTGAATTAAGAGTTTTTAAAGTCATATGAAAATAATAATAACCCTGATATATATCCTAATTGCAGATTGCAGGGGAGCAATTTTAAGTGCTTGAGGAAAACAGACAGATATGTCTTAATTGAAGGTTTTTTGCAAAGTTTTTGATAAAATACATATGCAATGTGAAATCAATATAATTTTGACCACTTATTTTAAGATGCTTTCTATGGCGCTTACTACATTTAAAGTGCAAGGCCGGCCCAGTAGCTCAGCGGACTAAAGTGCCTGCTTAGGCAGAGCAAGCGACCAGGGTTCAATCCCTGGTCTGTCGTGCTGGCCTCCCCTCCCGGGGCACACTGAGATGGTGATTGAGACTATGAGCAGTGGCGTGCACCTGTAATCCAGCCCTTGGGAGGCTGAAGACAGGAGGATGACTATGAGTAGTACAATCTACATAGTATAGTGAGACCCTGTAGATGCTGTCTTAAATCTAGGAAAAGAAAAAAAAAAAAAAAGAATAAAGTGTAACTTTTAAAAAATGGCACTCACATTTTCTGTTGGATCTTGTCATGCTTGCTACAGAGATTTCAGCTGTCTGTGAATCTTCTGGGCCTTTCTATTTTAAATTTAAAAATAACTGATCAAAGGCAAATAATTTATATTTGAATGAAACATCTTAAAACCTATGTTAATTTTTTAAAACAACACCTTTCAATATACTAGCTTATATTACAACTAGGTTTTCATGACAAAATACATGTCCAGCTGAAAGTAGGTGAAGAGAACACACTTTTTACACTGCCGAGTTTAGCTGCATCCAACACGCTGTGCGGATCACTGTCATTCACCGAGGTTGGAGGCTAGTGAGGCAGTCTGTAGTTCCTACTTAAGTTACATGAGCATTTATGAAGCCCAAAAGCTGAGAAAGAAACAGTCCTCCACCTAATTTGTTCAATTTCCTGCATGGTGGGCTGTAGATCTAAGATTCATTTTTCTACTTGTAAATTGGTAGCATGTTCTAGATGGAGAAGAAACCCATATAAATAAACTTAATATCTCATTCATTCATTGAATCATAACATTCTGTTTTAATTGCTTTTCTAGTCAGTGAAAGAATTTTAACAATATAGAAAATGCATCAGTAGAATTACAAAAATAATAGATTTATTAAAATTTTCACTGCTTAATATGAAAGAGAAGGAGATTTTGTAATTGCCTTCTGTGGTATGAATTAGGATTATCAGATTTTGTTTCAAAGACTGGCTTGCAGTTCAGTTTCTAGAAGACACTCGTGATACTTAACATTCGTAACCCATTGTGAATACAATCCCCTTCATGTAGCATTAAACATATACTTTTAAAAGAATATTCATGTCATTTTCTCACTCAAAATTGTGGAAACTTTAACACAAATGTAATGTGAGACAAGCATTTTATAGAAAAGAAGAAAAGTAGTGTACACACATATAATAGCACCTATTCAAAAGATATGTTTCTTTTTGGGGAATGAAGGATAAAAAATAAAATTGAACACACAGGAGAGAGTTATTAAAGTTTCAAGCCTCTTTCCTGAAATTAAGTGGAAAACAAAACAGAAAATCCAATTTAATCATTTTATATTATTTCAAAAACCCAATTATCATAAAATGTTTTATAATTTCACTAAAACAAAGGAGTTCAGATGTCTAATAAAAGAATACTTCTTTCCAAAAACAACTATATGTTGTCATACTATGTAAAAGAAACTACAAACAAACACCCAAGTCTCCTTGTTAATTGAGAATTATGAGGTTTTTTCCTTCAATCTCTATTTTCCTAGAAAATGGGAAATTGAACCCATCAAACAATCCTGTAAATTCATATGCTTTCTATTTGCCTTTAGGTTGATCCTACAGTTTAGGTAGTGAAATTAACAGTGAATATACAGAATGCTCAAATAGTTCAGAGCTCACTAAGTTCAGATCAGAGACTTTCTTATGTGTATCTTGTGGCTTGAGATCCTCAATTCGGAGATAATGAAACCCACCATAAAGTGATTTTAAAACTAATCCTAGCCTGAAGTTATCTTGTTTAAGACCACTTTTAAAATATCTAAGCAATTATCTGAAGGCAATCATTTGTTACAAATAATAAAGCCTTCAAAAATCATTTAAGAGAATATTTTTACGTTCCAACCTCTAAGTTGGCATTAGATCTGCAACCCATTGCCACACTTATTTTGCTAAGTTAATGTCTCATAATGAGTTCAGTTGTGTCTCTCAGCTAGCAGTAAACCCTCTATATCAAAGCCTTGGTTACAAGATCCATGGTGACATACAATTATTTATTGCTTTCATATTTGGCCTCTCCCTCTACTTGTTTCTTTAAGTAGAATGGGAATTTTATGTTGAGCCTTGGGAATATGGACCATTTTATTATAAAAATACAGTAGAATCTAAGGTTCTTATAAAATGACTCATTGAACAAAATCAGTTCTCTTCCACATTGTGAATTGAACACCTCAGTGAGTCCTACACAAACTAATGTTTGTTCAACAGCTTTTTTCAACATTTATTTGCATCAACCTAGACTGGTTAAAGGTTAAACAGAATAGAACACATAAAGGTCAGCTGTTTCATGAAAACTTATAAAACAAAACAATGAAAATTGATCAATCCACCAATCTGTCATGTTTCAAAGTGGAGCAGATAACAATGACTTAGATCTCCAGCGCGTGCAAACAGAGATCCTTAACCAGCTTCCAAGGCACTGGCCGTAATCCCAGTGTTTATCATGGGCAAGAACAGGCAAACCAGGAGTGGTTCCTACTCTACCCACATCACGGGCTTCCATCTATTCCTTGAAGAATAATGGAAAGAAGGAAGTCAAATCAACAGATTGGCTCAGAGCACTTACCAACTGGATAGTTGATGCAGATTCGCCTTTGCCTGACTGGTCACCTAACTCAGGGTTGAGTGCGAAGTGGTGGGAATGTCCCACGTGCCCATTAACCAGTGAGAGGTCCTGCTGGATGAGGGTGGTTTAAGGTTAGTGAAGGCCAAGAGAACACAGAGGCAGAGTTGGTCAAGTCCATGATTCTATTGAACACTTTGTTTATGGACCAAAGTGTTGGGTGGCACAAAAGGAAAATGCTATTGTGGTGATTGCATTGAGAGGACTATTTGCTAAGATGCCTAATTTTAGAGAAGCACAAACCTGCCCTAAAATATGCATGCTCTGAATACTTTTAGAATATAGGACTGGAGGGGCCGGGGAGATGGCTCAGTAGGATAAGCGCTTGACTGGCAAATGCAAGGATCTGAGTTCAATCCCCGGTTCCACAAAAAAAAAAAAAAAAGAATATAGGACGGGATATATCTCAGTGGCATGAGTGCCTACCTGGCAAGTGCAAGGTCCCAAGTTAGATCCCCAGTACAAAATAAAATCTAGCTTCAAAAACCTAGTTAGGGCCAGCGAGATAGCTCAGCAGACTAAGCACCTGCTTAGGCAAGTGCAGGGATCAGGGTTTGAACCTCGGAACCACATGTTGTACTGCCTTGCCCTAGGGAGAGCTGAGCCGGCCCAGGCATGGTGGTGCATGCCTATAATCCCAGTGCTGGGGATGCTGAAAACGGGAATCACTAGGAGTCTAAGCTGCATAGTGAGACCCTGTACCAAATACATAAAATAAATAAATAAATAAATAACCTCTAGTTATGAGTTAAAGAACCTGGAATAGTAGAGCAGTAGTTTTTATATTATCTTTTTCATACATTGAAATTTTATATTTATACAAAATTTAATTTTGAATGCTGACTGAGCTATTGCAATGCTGATTATTCAAATTATTATAGTTTTAGTAGTACAAGTGTTAAAATAGAATCTTCAAAAATCCATTCACCAATTAATGTACTGTACTTATAAACATTTGTATTTTTTATTCTATGCAATAGTATTAATTTTGAAATTGTGCTCTTAAAACTCATTTTAAATTCTCAGAAAAGCCTAAGGGCCAACAGAACAAACTGCATTTTTGGATAAATCAGAATTTCTTTCATACATTTCCATCTTGGTGAAATTTCTCACTATTAAGTATAGACTGGCATGTTAACATTATAATTTAATTTTCTTTATCCCCAAAAGCTAATCTATTGAATACAAATGGGGACCTACTATTGTTTTTATCCTTCTTGAGATTAGAATTCCTTTGAGGAAGTTAATTTCCTAAACATTTAGGGTAAATACTCTGATTGAAGCTTGTATTTTCAATTTCCAAATTACTATACCGTCCTCAGGTAAGCACTAGGCCAAGGAAAAACTTTACCCTATTAAGACTGGCAATTTTCATGAGATTTGATTTAAAATCTATTTGAGGCCTTGATATGTACTTGTTTTTGGAAAGTTTCAATTTATTTATTTATTTTGCATTTTAGGGATGGGTCTACAGGGTGTTCAGGGTATCACTACTAGATCGGACTCGTAGTGATCCACCTCTTTACAGCCTCCCAAGAGCTGGGATTACAGCTGGGATTGAACTCCCAAACCCTGCATCCACTTGCAGGTGCTTTAATCCACTGAGCTATTTAGCTGGCCCTTTGGAAAGTTTCAATCATGCAGAAAAGCTGAAAGAGTTGGACTGCGGTACTCAAACACCAACTTTCTGGATTCTATAAGAACAATTCAGCGTATTTTATCACACAACTATCCATGTGTCATCCTTTTATGCAACATTAAAGCATTTTATATTTTTATGCACAAAATAGAATTTTAAACAAATTTAAACATGATATTTTAAAGATATTACTACTTGCCCCAGCACAGCATATATCTATGTTAATAGTGGCTTAAGCAAGCAGGTAAAGGTCCAGAGAGTGGGTAGCAAGCCATAGAGGAAGGCAGGGTCCCACATCACCATAAGGAAATGTTTCGGTATGTTTTCCTTAGAGTCTTTCACAAGTATTTATCTTTTTAACCATCCCACCAAACAATTAATCTATTTTTCTTATAATGTATAGATGCAGAAGAAATATATCATGAATAAAACACATTGTTTTAGGGTCAGAGAGAGAGAGCTCAGTGGTCTAAGCACCTGCCTGGCAAGTGCAAGGTCACAGGTTTGATACCTGGTACTGCATGCCATGCCAGCCCCACAGTGAGCTGGCCACTGAGATACTGGGCGTGGTGGCGCACACCTGTAATCCCAATGCTGGAGAGGCTGAAACAAGAGGATCACTAGGAGCCTGAGCTATGTAGTGAAACCCCATACCAAATAAAGAAAACTTAACATTTCATTTTACACAGAGAAGTTGATCAAATACAGGCACAATAAAAGAAATTGTTCAAGTCAGAAAGAGATTTGGCATGAATCATATTTCTGAGCTTCTTGTATCTGGAATTTTAAATATTCTTAAGATAGATTATAACAAGTAATTTTATGAATTTTTAAAGTTTTCACCTTCTTGCTTATTTCTTTTTGTTTAGAAAAGACATCCGAACACTAAGTAGGAGTTTAACACTTTGAGACTCTTCTTTCCCCAGACATGAAATAGATATAGTCCTATTTTGAACCAACCATAAAATTAAACAAAAGATTGTAATAAATACATCAACTGACTAGCAATAGATGTTTAAAAAATAATAACCATAACTAAGAGTAATTTTCTGTTCAGAATGATTTATGTATTTTTAAAATTAGAACTGTCCTGCTTCAAGGTTGTATATGTTGAGATTTTTGGACTTATGTGTAAACATAAGAAGTGTATAATTCTTTATGCCTATTTTTAAAATATATTCTAATTTTTAAATGTTTTTTCATCACATTATGTAGGGATTTAAAGTTCAACATATCAATACTTGATGAAAAATACCTGTTCCATAGTATGCCTAAAATCTTTGATATGCAGACAGATAGTGAGGTTAAGCTTAACAGCCTAAGTTATATGGTAATAACAATAAGCTTGTCTTCTGGATGGTTAATAACCTAAGTTTGCGGACCAAAATTAGAGAAAAAGGAGGGCCGCA